TGTGGGGTGTGTGTGCTTTTTTGTGTGGTGTGGTATGGGGTGTGTGGTATGTGGAGTATGTGATATGTGTGTGTGGTATTTGGTGTGTGTGATGTGTGTTGTGTTTGTATGGCACGTGGGGTATGTGTGCTATGTTGTGTGGTGTGGTGTGGGGGGAGTGTGTGAAGTGTATTGTATGTGGAGTATGTGTGTGAAATATGATGTGTGGCATATAGTGTGGGATGTGTGCGTGAGGTGTGTGGTGTGGGGTGTATTGTGTGTTGGCTCTGTGTGTTGGGTGTGGAGTCTGGCAGGCAACCATCTGTTGAGTTATAAAACCTCCACCGTCTGTTGTTTCATCTGTGACATGGGTCCAATGGCTTCTTTCTCCAGGAGTCATTCTGAGCATTAAACAAGATACCGTCCAAACAGGGCCTGGTCCAAGTCGTTCCCTTCCCTTGGAGTCTGAGACCTTTGCTGTCTTTGGAGACAAGAGAGGAGGGAGCTGAGGCTGCTTTGCTGGGGTTGCAGATGGGACACATGGAGAACAGAGAAGTGCGCCGCCACTCTCCTCAGTTCCCTCCTCTACGTTCTGGCCCTCAGGAGAGGGTCCTGCTTCCATCATAACATGACTGGTCCCCTGCCACAGAGGTGTTTCCAGGTCAAAGGCCAAATGTTGGTGACACCCCAGGGACACTCTAGACTTAGAGTTGGTACCCCATCCTGCAAACCTGTGTGTTCTGGTGTCTGTTCAATATTGTTTGGACAACGAGTGGCCTGGTGTCCCTTAGGCACATGGGGGTAGGGGGGAGAATGTGAGGCAGGACAGGCCCTTAGGAGTCCTTCCGGCCTTGGGGCCCTCAGAGACCCTGGTGTTGGTGAGGAAAAAGACAAGTGGAAATTGAAGCCCTTGCCCCTTGACATCTGTCTCCCAGTTGGGGAAGGGGGCACAAAACAAAAGGAGAAAATGAGATGAAGCTGTTAGGAGTCCACAGCCTACTCACTTGTTGATTTGCTCCCCAAACTTGCTGAGTCTGAAAGGAATGCCTTGGTTTCCTGGTGCTGCTGTAACACAAGTATCCATGAAGCGGCTTTAAGTAGCAGAGGCTACAAGTCCAAATCAAGGACATTGGCCATGTCAGCTCCTTCTATGCTGGTAGTGTCCCTTGGTTCCTTGGCTTATAGGTGGTCCTCACGTGGCATCTGCCTTTCCCCCGTGTGTGTGTGTGTTCACTCTGCTTTTTAAACTCAGAAGTGATTAGGTTTAGAATTCACCCTCCATTGATATGGCCTTAACTAATAGATTATAGAAAAATAATTCCGTCACTTTGGATTGCGTTATACGAGGGAGTTACATGACATTGCATGCACAGGAAGAGTCAGGATTCCAACAGCTATTTTGGAAAGATGCAATTCAATAACAGGAAATATAAATAGTAAAAGAACTGGTCCCTGCCACTGGAAGGTTCTAGTCTAGGCTGGAAGACCAGACACCAGGTCCAAGCAGGCCTCTATACATCAGAGGTGTTGTAGAGCATCATGGATGTTGGTGTGGGTGTGGGCACTGGTGGACAGAATGTGTGTGTGTGTGTCGTGGGCAATGAGCTGTCACTGACTTGACCTAGGACCCCTCAGCCACAGGGGCGGATTACCCAATAACAACAATTTCACATGGGATTCAATTTGAAAAGAGGCTTTGGTTCTGTAGGTAGAACCACACTGTGGTTGGGAGACAGAGGCCAACTAGACCTAGGAGCAGAGTCTCTGATGTGCTGAAAAAATGAGAAATTGTTTACAGATTAGAAAGTAAGCCCATGTTTACCTTGCTTGCTGGGTAATCTGACACTGCCCAGTCGTCTACCTGGTGGACAAACTCAATGGAATGGGTCGTAGACTCTGAGTCTTGAACAACACCAACGTCTTTCCCCCTCTCTCTGCAGGGGGCGGAGGCAAACGCAAAGGAAAAAGTAAGAAGTGGAAGGAAATACTGAAGTTCCCTCACATCAGCCAGTGTGAAGATCTCCGCAGGACCATAGGTAAGTCCTCTGCTGTGAGGAGAGCAAGGAGTCTGGTAACAATCACACTGTGTGTATGGTGTTGTTTGCTCACTTCCAGCTCATAACCACTGTGTCTACAGCAGGACAAAACACTACCCGGTCCTGCCCAGTCCTCACAATCGTTGTGGTGTTTGAAGCATCTCATTGGGGTGGGTCTTCTTTTACTGGTGACTCTCCACTTTACCAAACATGATATCCCTTTCTAGGGACTAGTTCTTCCTGACAATATGTCCAAAGTACGAGAGATGAAGTATCACCATTGTCACTTTAGGGAGGAATCTGTCTGTACTTGTTCCCTCTTCTGGCATCCAGAGGACATTCACTGAGTAGAATGCAAATCAGTCACAAAACTGTGATGTCTTCGTGACATAAAGATAAAACCAACATTCACTAAATGATTGGCATGTGCCTGGAAGTAACCCTTTGTGTCCAGTGCTGTTGTTACCACCACCTTTCAAATGGGGAAAGTGAGGTGCAGACTTCTCTGAAGTCACACAGCTTGTGGGTTTGTGGTGGAGATGGCCAGGCCTAACCCCCAGGAACTTGTCATGATTCCTCCTTGAAGCCTGTCTTAGTTCTCTGGTGATGGTGATGGTGATGGTGGTGTATCACCAAGTCGGTTCTGACTCACAGGGTTTCCAAGGCTATCAGTCTTTACAGGAGCAGAAAACCTCATCCTTCTCACAAGGAGCAACTGGTGGGTTTGAACTGCTGACCTTGCTGTTAGCAGTCTAGTGCTTATCCGACAGTGCCATCAGAACTCCTAAATTAAGTCTAGCAATGCTTTCAATATATATGAAGCAGAGAAGCTTTAAAAAGTTCACAGGCACACAATGGAATACTAAGCAATGTTGAATTAAGACGATGAATCTGCAAAACACCTCGTAACATGGATGAACCTGGAGGACATTTGCTGAGTGAAATCAGTCAGTTGCAAAAGGACAAATATTATATGAGACCACTGTTGTGTAAAAGTTTTCTTGCTCAAAGAAACATTCTATGATGGTTACCAGAGTCCTGGTGTGGTGCTGTGGGATAAAGCACTGGGCCACAAGGTCAATTTGAACCACAAGGTCAGCGGTTCAAACTCACCAGCCGCTCTGCTCCTTGGAAACCCTATACAGGGTCACGATGAATTGGAACCGACTCAATGGCACTAAACAACAGCAACAAATGACAGTTACCAGGGATGGGGGAAGGGGAAATTATTCACTGGGTAAAGGGTAGACACATGTTAACTTGGGTGATCATGGTAGACGCAATATACAACAAGAGGGAGGTTGGCAGAGGAAGGACGGAGGCTGTGGGAGACATGGGGGAAGGCAGAGTAAACGTGACTAGAGGTGAATCCTGTTAACTGGTGGTTCAGGAGGGGATTGCACTCATTGTAAATGATACGAAGTGTATGATTTGTTAAATGTGGCTCTGACGATTGACTCTAAACCTTCTCTCGGTTCACAATGGTGTTTGGTGGGTATGTGCCACCGAGTCAGTTCTGACTCATAACGACCCTGTATAGGGTTTCTGAGGCTGTAAATCTTTACGGGAGCTGAAAGCCTCATCTTTCCCCCAAGAGACTGGGAGATTTGAACTGCTGATTTTGCGGTTAGCAGCCCAGTCTTAGTTTTCTCACGCTGCTAAAACAGAAATGCCACAGATGGGTGGCTTTAACAAGCAGAAATTAATATATTATCTCCCAGTTGGGAGGCTAGATGTCTGAATTCCAGGTGCCAGCTGTAGGGGACGTCTCTCTCTCGGCTGGTTCTGGACGAAAGTCCTTCTCATCTGTCTTCATGGGTGTAGGAGGTTCTCAGCACAAGGTCCTGGCTCTTCTTTCTTGGTGGTAGTAGGTTACGTGGATCTCTGTTCACTTGTTTAAACTTTAATATCTCAAAACAGATTGACTCGTGATACAACCTAATCTTGTCAATTGCATCTGGTCTCCTTAACATCATTGTTGTTAAGTGTTGTCCAGTCAGTTCCAACTCATAGTGACTCTGTATAGGATTTACAAGAAGCAGATGGTGAGTTTGAACTGTCGACCTTGTGGTTGAAACTGACTTCGAAATCCAGTGCTTTAATCCCACAGAACCACACCAGGACTCCCATTAACATCATAGACGTTAGAATTTACAACATATAAGGCGATTACATCAGACACAAAGTGGAGACGAGTCACACCATACTGAGAAATCCTGGCCGAGTTGATGCACATAGTTATATATTTTGGGGTTGCAGAGGAGGGACACAATTCAATCTATAACAGAGCCTAAGTGTCTAAATCTTTCCCTGGGAACTAGCTCCAGGCTCTGGGAGCTGAATTGTGGGCTGAGTGTTCAGTGGGACCTCTTGCTGAGGATATCAGTGTTTATGAAGGGGCCACCAATTTCAGGGGCCTGGCCCGTCCCCTCTGCCCACCACCTACACAGACAGGAACCTCCAACATGGAGCAAGCTCATATCTTGAAGGAAATGTCCACGTGGCTCTGTCTCTAGCCCCACTCATGACATGAAACCTTGGTGAGGAGGCCTGGGTGACTGAGACTGTGGAGAGAGGACATGACCATTCCATGTCATTGTCATGCTAAGTACATGCTTTGAAAACCGAAACCATTGAGAACTGAATACAGAGGAGGCTCTGTTACCCAAAGCACTCCCCAGACTCACTACTTTTATGGGACTTCTAGAGGGTTTGGGGGGATCTGCCCTGTGCCTGCTGTGGAGTGTGGGGCAACTCCTGCCATTCAGCATGGCTTCTCCCTGTTTCCCAGCTCAGGTGATACCCCAAGGCTCGCTCAGGCCTGGACCCCTGTGCCACTGGGCCTTCCCTTCCTGGTGTATGCCTGGCTCTAACGGAGATGAGGTACCTGCTGAATTAGTGTTGCCCCTGATTCAGGCAAGTGTGAGCCAGTGAAGAACATAGAGCTTTACAGGCTGGGAGAAGGTCCTCAAGACCATCTTAAGACTCTCAGGCAGATAGGAGTCTCTATGACATTTTTGGAACCCAGAGTGGAGTTGGCCTAAAGGATCAAGACCTCTGGATCCTGACAGACTAGGGTTCAAATTCCACCCTCTCTGTGCCCTGTGACAAGTTGCTTAATACTGCTGAGCCTCTATGTCCTCCGTTGTGAACTGCCATTATAGGCTAGTTGAGAAGATTAGATGAGATGTCGTGTGTAGATTAGATGAGATCCCACATGTAGAGGACTGGGAGCCCTTGTCAGCAGCTTATTACAGATTACCCAACAGCCACCGCCTTCCTTGGTCCTCCCTCGTTTGTGAATTTGGGTGTCTGTGTTACTCCTTAAAGATCATCTGTTTCTCTGAGGCACTGGGACAGGGTAAGAGAAGAGACGGCCTGTTTTTCTGGTGGCTGGCCACTTCTCCGGGACCATTTTGGTTTTCATGCTAATCTAAGCATGGAGAGACTAGAGCCTTTGTATGCATTCTCAGTAACTCTTGGTGTTGAGAGAGTCTATAGGTTTGGTGTCTCATTGTTGCTTTCACTTGGATTTCCCGGATTACCGTTGGGTTGAGCATCTCTCACATGTTGAGGATGGCACAAGACCGGGCCGTGTTTCATTCGGTTACATACGGCCACCGTGAGTTACAGTAGATACAATGGGACTTACCAGCACCAACAACAGCCAGCTAAGGTACACTGTAATAACAAACCACACCAAAACCTCAGAGGCTTTCTGTTATAAAGAATGATTTTATTTCTTGCTTACTCAGGGTCTGTTGTGGGTAGCGCTCCAGGCAACAGCAGGGACTCATACTGCAACACCTGTGACTTCTGGCCTCTTTAGTCACCGAGACCGGGCAGGAGAGCACTGGATGGTTTTGCACCAGTAGTTAAAGGCTTCGCATCACTTCAGCTCACTCCCATTGGCCAGAAAAGTCACATGGCCCCACCTAATGGCAAGGGGTAAAGGAGATCTATGAAAACTAGAAATTCCAGCCAACCCCACCAGTGTGCCCCCCCCCCTCCCCGCCCCGAGGTTTGTTCTTTGGTGATGGGGCAATGGTGGGGCCACCCACAGAAGCCAGAATGTCTGATCAGGCACAGGGAGCCAGCATGGGGTTAAGGCTGACTGGGAGGGGTGGCCCAGGGCCTGTGATTACAAAGGATTAAAGACTGATGATGGGAAGGGGGACTCACCCTTCCACAGGTGCACGTGACATTTTGTGGCATGAATACAGGTAGGAGAAGACAGTGAGGATTGTGAGGCAAGAGGCATACAAAGACCAGGTTAAAGTGGCCGAGAGAAGACAGGAGGAATTTGGACCCAAGTCTCAGAAATCACAGGAGAGTCACATGTCAGAAAAAAATTAGGGAGGGCTTGAGGGTGTGAGACCACTGGTGACTGTACCCAGCGCAGATCTGGAGGCTTTGGGCAAGTATGGATCTGTCTGTATGTCTGTCTGTCTGGGGAGTGTAAGGGTGAGCCAGGAGGCAGGATGATCAAGAATGAGTCAGTGGAAGGAACAGAGACAGCAGGCGTTGACTGCTTTTTAGAGAACTTTGGCTTGAAGGTTGGAAATTGGGGAAGGAAAATGGGGTACACACAAAAAGGGGAGCTGGGACGGAGGACTGGGCATGTTGGCGTAAGTACTGTGTGAGGGGAGATGTGGGAGAAAAAAGGGAGTAGGATATAGGGGCCTGGCTGGAGCTTTTGGCGGCTTCACCCTACTTGATGCCTCTTCTCTCCACTTCCTCTCCTGAGATTCTAACACTTGGGGGTGAACCCGCCCTGCCAGGTGCCCCTCCAGCCCCGCCTCCCATCAGTCCTCTCCAATCCTCCTAACCCCAGTGCCGACACCCCAGAGGACCCTGGGGACCCCCCAGAAGCACCACAAATAGTGCTCTCCTTCCAGTTTGCCGGCCCCTTCCCTGTTTTGCTTGCTTCCTTCTTGGGGTACCTGGGATCCCAGGATTTGGTACTGTGCTTTTCTGGGTCCTGGGCCTCACCCTAGGGC